TGTGTGTGTGTGTGTGTGTGTGTGTGTGTGTGTGTGTGTGTGTGTGTCTGGATGTTATTCCACAATAGCCCCATAAAAAAATTACTTCAATGGACTTGCATTTTGCTGAGACTCACTTTATAGGCTAAAATGTGGACAGTTTTTTAAAGTTCCATATGCTGCTGAGAGTAATATGGATTTCACAGCTGTTGTGTGGACTGTTCTGCAAATGTCTGTTAAATTTATATAATCTATGGTATAGGTTATTCTGAAGTACCTATTGATGAGAGCGGATTGCTGACATCATGCACTGTCATTATATCAGGGCCTGTTTGTCCTTTATGTTCATTAATGTTTTATTAAAGTCCCAGTGAAGGACATATATGTACAATTGTTCAGCTTCTTGGCGAATTGCTTATTTGTTAACATATGATAGCTGTCTTGTATCTCTTCTGATGGTTTTCAGCTAAAGTATACTTCATTAGCTATCAAAATAGTTATACCAGAATGGATCCATTTGTTGTTTGATTAATTTCCATTCCTTCTCTCAGAGTTTCTTTTTGAGTCAGCTGTATTTTTTAAAGGACAATATCCAACTGACTAGTCTACATTATTTAATTGAGCAATTAAAACATTTATAGTTAGAATTATTAGTGGGAAATATCTGGTATTACATGTTTTTAGATTCCCCCAAATTAATGAGATCATGCAATGTTTGTCTTTCTGTGTCTGGCTTATTTTGCTTAATGTAAGTCTTCTAGGATTATTTATGTTGTTATAAATGACAGGACTTCCTTTTCTTAAGATTAAGTGGAATTTCATCACATAGATACACCATTTTTTCTTTATCCATTAGTGGCCCCTTAAATTGACTCTGATGGGGGTTTTTTCTACTGTTAATAGTGAAATAAATAGATATATTTTGTATGCTGATTTGACCTCTGTTTAATATGCACTGTTATGAACTCAATATTGGGACCGTTGGAACATGTGGTAATTCTATTTTAATGAAGAGCCTATGCCCTGTTTCTCCTAATGTCTGTGCTAATTGTACAGTAGTAGTTTATGAGAATTCCCTTCTTCTCAGAGACTGTGACCTTACCAGCATTCCCCATTTCTTGTCCTTTATCTAGTAGCTGTTCTAACTAGGATAAAATAATATCTCATGATTGTTTTTATTTGAATCTCCCTGATGGTCAATGATGTGTGCGAAATTTATTTTCATTCACCTGCTATTTTCTTTTGTCAAGATACTTCCCAGATTTTAGTTGAATTGTTTGTGGTGGGGGTGCTGTTGGGCTGTTTGAGTTCCTTGTATACTCTAGATGGTAACCCCTTGTCAATGTCTGTTTACTTGTCAGCCACTGTGCTGTGCTGGAGCATCCTGCTTAGGATAGTCCCACTGTCCTGTGCTTTTGAGCTTCCTTGCCTGGGCACTGTCACGATGTAGTCCCCTGTGCTTTCTTCTGATAGTTTCACATTTGGAAGTGATGGTCATCTTTTTTTAAACAGGCTGTTTCCTGATGACATTTAGAAAGAAGGAAGCTGCTAAAGTAACTTGAAGCTACATTTTATGACAGGTTCCCTATAAGAGCACGGGTTTTTATCACCATTGTCATTTTTGTTTTACGGTAAATAGTAATCCAAATATCTGCCTAAATTCTTCTACTTGGGCCTGGGATATGGATTATATATTTCCCTTCTTACAGATGTATTCCCCTTTTCAAACTCTTTCCATAGAGTATTCAAGATCTTTCTCTAATTGCGGCTTCTACTTCTGCCAGTGGGAAGGATGTCAGCCCCCGTCTCCTCAAACACTTCTCCATGCTGGTATTGCCTCATCCTCCACAGATTGCCTTATGTACTATTTTTCAGGTAATGTATCTGGCTGTCCCTCCCTCCACTGAGACAGAACCGTTCTCAAGAATGCTATAGTACTCTACTGCACTAGTTGGTTTCTGTCAACTGGACACAAGCCTAGACATTCTGGGAATAGTGTATCTTTTCATTTTGTGTATAGGGGTTGAAAAAGAGTTTTACTACATGGCCCCAGCTATCCTGGAACTCACTCTGTACACCAGACTTACCTGGAACTCAGAGATCCACATACCTCTGGTTCCCAAATGCTAGGATTAAAAGGTGGGGTATAATCTAGATTGGTACTGATGTGGGAGGCCCCAGCCCACTGTGAGTAATGCCACTTCTCAACAAATAGCCCTAGGGTGTATAAGAAAGTGTGTTGAGTAAGCCAGGGGGAGCAAATCAATAAGCAGCACCCACTCCACAACCTCGGTACCAGTTCTGCCTCCAGGCTCCTACCTTGAGTCTATGCCCTTCCTTGGATGATGGACTATGAACTATGAGATGAAATAAACCCTATCTTCCCTGATGGAAGCCATCTAGGAAAGGCTATGGCAAGCCAGTGAATTTTCTGGACATGGCCCACTGTTTTGCATGGATGAGATGGGTTGAGCTCTAAGAGGCAAAGACCCCAGAGACTTTGTCCCAGGGTTGCTTCTCACTACTGACATGCCTTTCCTGTCACTATTACATAGCTTAATGATTCCTGGGTATTTATCCACCCTACTGGGCAAATTTCCTACAGAATCAATATGAAGATATACTTTCATATAGTAATACTGTTTAGACTAATTGATGATTTCATAATTCCTAATAATTATTTTAGAGAACTCCTAAATTGATACAAGTATTCTCAAGCCCCCTATAGAATACAAGCTGCGAATAGAGCTCTGTAAACATTCATATCTCATAGACTAATTGCACTAGGAAAAGAAAACAGGATTTGAACACATTAATGATCAAGAAAAACATTCTAAGTCAAGTCCAAGGATGAAGCCACAGGTGTGCACTATGATATAGCAAGACCATGTAAAACTGTTGCTTTGAACTTACTTTTGTGTAAAAATCTATAAAAAGCTGAAAGCAAAAATAAAGGCTTGATGTAGTACTTTTTCTACTTCTTCCAGAGTGCATATGTCTCTGTGTGTGCCTGACTGACTTTCTTTCTTTCTTCCTTTCTTTCTTTCTTCCTTCCTTCCTTTCTTTCTTTCTTTCTTTCTTCCTTCCTTCCTTCCTTCCTTCCTTTCTTTTTTCTTCCTTTCTTTCTTCATTTCTTTCTTTCTTTTTTTCTTCCTTTCTTTCTTTCTTCATCTCTTTCTTTTCCTTTCCTTTCTCTCTGGCTCACAAAGAGACAAAGAGTTAATGAACCCAGAGCCTCTTGCCTGGCCAGTGAGAGGCACCTGAGTCAAGGAGTAAAGAGCCCAAGTAATAACTAAGTTTCTTCTCTCAATCCCCTGCAGCTATCAGCAGACGTCAAAGCTTCTGGCTCCAGAACAGGAAGAGAGAGTTAAGTCAGGAGAACAGGAAGAGAGAGTTAAGTCAGGAGAACAGGAAGAGAGTTAAGTCAGAAGAACAGGAAGAGAGAGTTAAGTCAGGAGAACAGCAAGAGAGAGTTAAGTCAGGAGAACAGGAAGAGAGAGAGTTAAGTCAGGAGAACAGGAAGAGAGAGTTAAATCAGGAGAACAGCAAAAGAGAGTTAAGTCAGGAGAACAGGAAGAGAGAGAGTTAAGTCAGGAGAACAGCAAGAGAGAGAGTTAAGTCAGGAGAACAGGAAGAGAGAGCTAATGACAAGAGAGCATCAGCCTCTGGCCCTCTATCTGCATCCCGCCTCAGTGCCTAACATTCAGGGCAGGACCCTCAACTTCCCCAAGTTGCTTTTGGTCATGTTGTTTTACCACAGCAATAAAGAAACCTAACTATGGTAACTACCACAGAGATGCACAGGTTCCACCTAGCTCATCTTCTACTTGGGAAAAAAAAAAAGAGAGATCATTATAGAAATAGGAGACTTAAGGCCCTGGGTAATTATTCTTGTCTTCATAAGTATTATTCCTCCTGTATTTTCTGGGCTATCTCAATATTGAAATCACTTTTAATGTTCATAAGAAATGTGTGTGGTATGTATCTAATGCAATCCCAAGAGGTGACTCTCCTGACTGAGATCTGGTGCGTCTCGCATGGAGCTCAGTAGCTACCTTTTTAAACATGAGCAGTTTATGTTCCCATCTTTGCTTTGTCTCATAAGAAGCCGGGTCTCCTTGGCCAGCCTGGCTTGTCATGCACATTTACTTTCTTCTAAAGCAGTTTTTCTTTTAGGTGTAGCCTGTGGTCACCCACAACAGAATCATAGGGGGTTTGCAGGAAGTTGGTTTTAATCTACCTTTAAAGCTTCTAAAGAAAGGAAATGCAAGATTAATTTTGAAGACAGTTACAATATCCTATGCAACCTGACACAACAGATGTATAAATTACCCTGTACTTCAGTTTGAGCCATGTTTCCAATGAGGACCTTCTGGACTCCCCAAAGAAAAGCCATGTGTATAGCTGTCTAGATGAGGTAACACTCTATCACTTGCCCCTCTGGCAAGCCAGAAGATGAGAGAGTACCATAACTGATGTGCACAGAGGTGGGCCACCAAATTGTCCCCAAAGAACACACATTACATGTGAGACTGTAATAGGATGGATTGGGTTTTGGTCGAAGCGCTGGCTGAAAATAGCCCGAAGACCCAACAGGTGTCCATTGCCTGTGAGGGACGGGCATCTGTTCCGCCATGCTCCCAGAATCCAGGCTCCTGTCATGTGGCATAGACCTCCATTGACCAGCACTAGGGCGTGACTACAGGCCTCAGGCCCTAAAGAGATTTACATACTAATGAGATACCTGAAGGCCAGGGGACATAGCCAATTAGGCATTCTTTCCAAGACCCTCCCCCTTCTCCCTCCCTATTTAACTTAGGTCAGCCCTGAGTTCCAGGGAGGGGAGGGAAAGGGGGGAGATGATGGGGGGGGGGGACAGACACATGCGCATCCAGACTCAACTACCATCTGTCATGAAAATAAATCTCTTAAACCCATGGACTCCATGTGTCTTCTGGGGCCCGCTGTGGGGAAACGCTGAGAAGGCCTTTAATGTTGAGCCGCCATAGCCACCGCATCTAACTTCCCACCTGGAGGACCTCTCTGCATTCCAGCCACAGGGACCCGCAATTACATACCTTTTAGGCCACGTGACAAACTATAATCTGTTTTCCACACCCAGGGCACCTTTGCACTTATAGGCCACCATCTTGATCTAAGATTTTAACTAGTAATAATTCTTAGTGAAATTAACCCTCTGTGTACAGTCCACAAGTCGGCTTCGTAGTAAATTTTACATTTACATGTTTAACTAAACATACAATTTTCTCTTTAAAGGCTCACTTGGGAATGTATTTCTCCATCCATAACTTTGTAACTGAGGTTCAGAAATCTAGAGATCAGATTGTCCTCTGCTCCCTGGCGATATATTATGAAGTCTGTAAGAAACTGTTGCCAACGCCAACCAAATGTCACTATATATTTAATCCCCGAGACATGTATAAGGTTTGTTGTGAAATTAGTTCTCTAGCTTATCTTTAACATTTAAATTGAGATGTAATTTTACTGCATCCTTGTCTTCCTCGTCCTCTCCCTCCCTCCCCCCTCCCTCTCTGATGTTACTGCCTACATCAAATTGTCAGAAGGTATAAAAGGGGAAATTCACAGTGGCAATTTGTGCCAGGTGCCCACTGAAAAGAATTGTTCAAATGATGTGAAGCAGTGGATCCTTTAACAAAACCAGTGAGGCCATTACAGTATAAGCTGGGATCCTGAGAAAAAGAAATGGCAAGGTCATAGTGTGGGTTTGGGTTTGGCTCTGTCTAGGGGGGTTTCCTATCACTGCAAGGGAGTGAACCTCTCTGTAAGAACCTCATGCACATCTGTGAGTTAACCACTTACCCAGGAGCGCTGGCTCAGTAAGCAGTGTGACTGAATAATTTTCATAATTCAATGTTAAGAAAACACCTTAGCCATGCATAGACGAACATGCCTTGCATCCCAGCACTTGGGAAGCAGAGGTAGGGGGATCATTTGAGTTCCAGGACAGCCAAGACTACACAAAGAAACCTAGTCTTAAAAAGACAAAAAAGGAGGAAGGAGGGAGGGAAGGAGGGAGGGAGAGAGGGAGGGAGGGAGGGAGGGAGAGAGAGAGAGAGAGAGAGAGAGAGAGTGAGAGAGAGAGAGAGCGCGAGCGAGAGAGAGAGAGAGAGAGCGAGGTGGGGGGAGGGAGAACTGAATACAGTATCTTTCTTCCCTTGCTGTAGAAGGTCAGCCCTGATTTGCACAGGTGTTCTTAATCTAAACTTAAAATGTTGACTACATCAATATTAGAAAGCACCTCACAGTCCAGTGTGGCGAAGCCTTTAATCCAGTACTCTGGAGGCAGAGGCAGGAAGATCTCTGAGTTCAAGGTCAGCTTGGTCTACAGGCAAGCCAAAGCTGCAGAGTGAGACCTTGTCTCAAAGGAAAAAAAAAAAAGAAAAAAAAAAGAGTTTAATAAAAAAAAGTCCCTCCCTTTCACCTGTGCTAGCAACATCTGCCCAGCTGTGGTCTCTGATCCTGGTAAGCCTTTCTCAGAGGATTCTGAGACACTATCAAGTTGTACAGTAGCAATTTTCTTTGGCTTTAACTCGCCCTTCCCATAAAAACATTAGTATTGTCACTTACAGAAATGGATGAATCTTAAATTGGAAAATTTATGTGTTTATATAACATACACCTGCTAATGTTGGTCATGTGTTGCCTTTCTATCTCTCAGCTTCTGCTAGGATTGATGCAAGCAGACAAGAGCGTAATTAACTCCAAAGAGATGGCTGCTCTGCTCCTAGTACATGAAGCCAGTCGCGTGTTTCATGATCGTTTGATTGATCACAGTGAAAAAAGCCTTTTCTATCAGCTTCTGTCAGCAGAACTCCAGAATCATCTGCAGGTACATTGGAAAAATATCTCAAGTGGAATCTTGGGCCCCAGCACGAGCATACATGCACACACGCACACACACACACTCAAACAGAGTGTTGTTTTATGAAAATCCTCAGACATGTCTCTAATACTAATGAAAGCAACTTGGTTTTAAGAATTTCATTCCTTGCTTAAAGATGTCTGAGAGCAAAACTTAAGCTATGCGGGAAACAGTCAAGTCTTGATTCCTCTGTCCACGACTTGGGGCCTCAGCATTGTTTCTCCCTCTCCAGAGCCTGCAGAGCTGTTCACTGAAGATGCCCAGACTCCTCTCTCTCCACCCCTTTGACCTTTAGCTTCCTTGGTGTCTTGGGCCTTCCTGCTTGTTTAGCTTCTTTGGGTCTGTGGGGAGTATGGGTATCCTATATTTTATGGATAATATCCACTTAGAAGTGAGTACATTACCATGTGTGTCCTTTTGAGACTGGGTTACCTCACTCAGGAAGATATTCTCAAGATCCATCCATTTGCCTGCAAAATCCATGCTGTCTTTGTTTTTAATAGCTAAGTAATATTCCATTGTGTAGATGTAACACATTTTCAGCATGTGCTGTCACTTGAGTTTTTGATCTAAGCCATAATGGCAGGTGTAAGATGGAATCTCAGAGTTGTTTTGATTCACATTTCCCTGATGACTAAGGACTTTGGACATTTCTTTAATTTGAGATTCATCTGTTGAGCATTCTCTGTTTAGCTCTGAGCCCCATTTTTTAATTGGGTTATTTGGGTTGTTGGTGTTTAACGTCCTGAGTTCTTTATAAATTTTGACTATTAGCCCTCTGTCAAATATAGGGTTGGTGAAGATCATTTAGAATTGTTTCTAATACATAGTGATACATCTAAGCTATTATGATATGGAAAAATACTCTTACATCTACATTTTAAAGATTTATTTATTAAATGTATATGGGTGTCTTGTCTGTATGTATGTCTGAACACCACAAGAGGGCATCAGATCCTATAAAACTATAGTTATAGACAGATTTGAGGGCCTGTTTAGGTGCTGGGAATTAACCCAGAATCTCAGAAGAGGTGTCAGTGTTCTTAACCACTGAGCCATTTCTCTAACTCCTTACAATTTAAATACAGGCAAGGAATTTGGTGAAAATAACATGAATGTTAAGAGAGCAATTTGAATCTACAGGTTTAGACTTCTAACCCTGTATCATGCTGCCCTGGGGCTGTGAAGTATTCAACATGCTGGAAACTGTTCCTCATTGATGGTCACTGTACTCTCTCCACCATCAAGATGCTCTAATGTTGGCCTGAGTGTCCATGCCTACATGTATGCCAGAAATCTGAGTGTGGACCCTTGTATTCCAACCTGAATACAGTTTATTTTCCACAGCCTCTGCCTTCACAGCTGCAGGTCCCCTTGTAAGACTCTGGCAAGCCTTAGCTTACCAGGGACTCCCTGAGTGAACCACGTGGAGCCTGGAGTTGATGCAAAATGCAAGAGGAATTTATTGTTCCAATGCATTGGGGTCATCCTACACTAAAGGTGAAGTGGCAACCACGCACAGCTCATTCAGTGAGCTGTTTATACAGTTTTTAGGGCAACAGCCATTAGGCACAATGTGATTGGCAGAACAATGTGACTTTTTAAACTGATTAGTCTTTAGGGAATGAGGTGACAAGATCCTTGTCTGTAGGTGGCCAACGGTCAGTCCTGCAGAATGTGTCAACAACCACAGGTCGGTTCCCACACACACACACACACACACACACACACACACACACACCTTGCTCTAAGGAATGTTAATCAGCCTCTGCCTTCCTGAGGGACAAGTGTTCCATGGCCTTTCCACAATTCCTGAGCTGACCTATTCACCCTCCTGCGGCTCACCCCTGACCATTGTTCAAGACTCAGGTCATGGACATCACACTAAGTGACATAATGCAGGCTCAGAAAGACCGTTCCCACTATGAGCAAAGTCTAAAGAGGTCCAGCACTCAGAAGCAGGTCGTAGGAAGAACAGGACTCTTGCACAGGATGGAGAGGTCCATGAGAACTGTTGGATACAATGATGCGCATTTGAGGTGGCAAGTGTGCTTCATTTAGTTATTATTTCACATTGTGATGGCGTTGTATTCCCTGCAATGACATTGTATTCCCTGCACATATGAAACTACAATTTGCCAGGTTACAGTGTGGATTGTTTTTTAAATTCAGTGCATACCTTTGACATTCTGGTATTTCTGGCCAGCGCCAGCCTCCTTCTAGATTCTTCTTTGGATGTTACAAGACTGTTGGACTTTGTATCACAGACCTGTTTTAGCTCTTTCCGATCTACATGCTTCATGAGGACAGAATCACTGATTTATTTCTTCATAAGTCTCTGGAATTCAGCCTAATATAAGCATTCAACAAATATATCTGGGTTGAATGAGTAAAGAAGGAATGGAGGCATGGGGCTGACAGCCAGCTCAGCAGGGGCATGGGGCTGAGCAGTTGGCTCAGCAGGTGAGCTTTGATCCTGGGAACCTGACAATCTGAGTTCTAACCCCAGACCCACATAAAGGTGGAAGGGGAGAAACCTGCCCCAACAAGTCGTCCTCTGACGTCCACATGTGCCCACACATATGTATAAAGTTTTGTTTTAAAAAGAATGAATGAAGGGATAGACAGACTAACAAAATGAAAATCAGAAGAAGGCTCATTACTCCTGCGTGGGAGGATTCCTAGCCATCCCGTGAGGGCCACACAGGTCTGCTTCCACCTCTCACCACAGTGAGGAGCACACACAAAGGCAGTGACCAGCTCATGAGGGACCAGCTCTTGGGAACCAGGCTTCCATAGCAGCTGTCAGCCCATGGGTGTCTGAGGCAGCTATAATTCCCCAAATTAACGACCACATCAAACTGTCTTTATCAACACAAGGACATGAATTATTACCATGAGCATTATTTGGTTGCCTTTCTGAGAGAGTGAAATATGACTCTAATTAAACAGGGGGTTCAATGAATGAGGTACTGACTCAAGAGCTTGATGCATCCATCGATCCTTTAATCTTCATTCATAACACCTGTGCAATAGAGGCCCTGTCATTATCCTCACTTGACCAACAGTGTAGAGCACAGTAAGGTTATACACAGCTACCCTGCTGCTGAAGTGATGTCATAGTTCAAACACAGGATGTCTGGTGTCATATAGTTTCTTAGCCATCACTGACTAAGCAAGTGACTTCTGAATGTCCATCAGGAACTTCCAGATCTAGACAGCAAGGGAGGCACATGCTAAGGACTACTGGAACAGGTAGAAACTGCCCACGGCCACCTTAAACCAGAAGCTGCAGGAGAGCATGCGGGTGTTGTGCCAACCAGTGTATACAGCCGTACAGTGAATAAAGGAGGAAAAAGTCATCCATTCTGGCTGGTTTTAGAGAAGGGGACATCAATGAGGCTCAAATAGGAGACAGTTTATGGCCTCAGTATGAAAGAGAATCAAAAGTGTGCAAAGAAGAAAGCACCTGTGCAAAGCCACAGCCTGGGATGGTAACTGACAGTCAATGAGGGAGAGTCTTTCTCCCAGATTGTCGGTGGAGCTGCAGGACACCTGACTCCGACCACAGAGCTCTCCACCCAAGTCCAGAACACTGAGGAGAGTTCATGGGCACAACTGAACCAAGAGTTCAATATTCTTGGCTTCCTTTGTAACAGTGTATTTTATTAGAAGCATTTTTTAAAAAATACTATTTTGGGTAGGAGGCTACAAGTGTCACTGCTCAAAGGAACATACACAAGCATACACATGCACATATGTGTGCACACACACACAAATGGGTTAAGAGCCTGAGTCCAAGGTTCCACTGCCAGAAGCTTTTATGAAAGATAGATTGTGGTTCTATTAAGATAGGATTTCAGTGTAAAGACAATGGAATTTGAATAGCAATTGAATACTCACTGAGTCCTTATTTTACAATAGGTTAACTGGAGTCACGAGAGTCTGATGAACAACCCAGTTGTATTTGTGGACTTTATGGATATAAATAAGCCTCACCGAAAAAAGATCTACCAGAACACCAATAACTATGATAAACTTCTCAGTATCCTTACCGAATTCCAACAAAAGTTGGGTTCAGCATCTCTAGAGGTAGACACATTCCATGAAAACCTAAAGAATGTTAAGCATGCCTATGTCCACTTGTGTGCACTAATATAAATACAGAGCTCATATTTTAAAGTGTGTGTATATCTGAGGTGGGGAAGGGGAAACATTTCCTCTGGCTTCAAAGAGGAAACATTGGAAGTAGAGTTCTTCATGCATCTAGCTGTGCTTTTGTCTCAGTGGTATCTAACTCCAAAGACAGGGTGCACAGTTGAGGCCGTAGGGAATTGAATGGAGTTGATGGAGTTAAGAATGCAAGAGAGTAGAACAGGGCCCAGAGTGAGAGACACACAATGGCTGTGTCTTCTGAGCAATTTCCTGAGCTTCATCTCCCCATCTGCTGTCAACTCAGAGCAATAGAAGAGCAACCCAGAACCCATTCCCTTGTTCTTTGTCCTGTTCCCTCAACCCCAGGTCAGCTCACTAGAATGTTAGCCAAAGGGTGAGTGATGTCTCTTGAAAAAATGTGTTTTCTCTAAATGTCGATGGAAACTGTTAGCTGGCTCTCGGTGCTCATGCTTCTAAAAACAGTCGCTCTTCTTCCCGTTTCTGTGTACATAAAACCTCAGTGCACGCCTGACGTTTCTACACCTGTAATTTGTTTATTTGCTATATTTCTTTTGCCAGATGTCTCATTCAGTTGTATTCTTCAAGGAAGCTGTAGAACACATTACCAGAACTACCAGGGTCCTTCGACAACCAGGGAGTCACGTATTACTGGTATGAATTTAAGTTCTTCAAATGTTTTTAAGGTTGCAAAATGATAATTCGGAAAGTCCAGTAAAATCAACATACAGAAGCTGTATTTGTCTGTAAATTATGAAAAATCGCAGTAATTGAGTCATAGAGCGGGATCTTAGTCTTCACTGTTTGAAAAAAAATGCTGACATGTGGCCATGTTATTCGTTTGGGGAAGGCATTTGATATGACTAAACCATGTACTCAGCACCACATATAAGGTATCCTAGTGATCTGCCGTCCACACAGGTGGGCTCTGACTCTAAAAACAGCACTCCAGCGTGGATATTGGTTTAGAAATAAGAGCCATTGCACAGATATTTGTTTCTTAAGAGAATAAGTGACAGCTAACTTAAACTTCCAAAGACTTAGAAGAGAGAAAAGGTTTTGGAAAGCCAAAAGAATCCACAGTATTAGGCCAGCAAGATAGCTCAGTGGGTAAAAGTGCTTGCTGCTAAACCTGATAATCTGAGTGTGATCTGGGAACTCAGCATGGTAGAAGGAAAACCTCCTCCTACAAGGTTATCTTCTGACCTCTATACTCATGTGTTTGTGTGTGTGCACATGTGCACCCACACACACAAAATAAATGTAATAAAACAATTTTCATCTATAATATTTAGTCAATGATATAAACATATTATTTAATTTGTTATTTATGGGTACCATTTATATCTTATTATAACAGTTTTTCAAAAGAGGACTTTATCTTACATGCAGAACAACTAGATTTTTACTTAATCTTTTTTACAACAAAATTAAAAGGAAATTTTAGAATGAGAAGGTAGAATCAAGAGAAACACAGTACAAAATAAATCTGCTTCCCCACTCAGCTGCTGTCTCACAAGCCTTCCCTTCTATGGAGGGCATCACATGAGCCTTTCCATCCCTTCAGTCTGGGACTTCAGCCTGTGGACAACGCTGCCCACTAGGGTTGGTCTTCTCAAATTAATTAGCCTAATCTAGAAATCCTCACAGATATGGCAACATTTGTCTCCAAGGTGACTATAGATCTGACAAATTAGAAAATCAGAAAATTAGAAAGCACCTTGAAAAATAAAGAAAGCAATACAGTAAAAATGCCTAAAGGAAAAATCTATAGGAAATTTATATGTCTAAGTGCTTATACCTAAAAATAAGAAACTTCAAATTAATAGCCTAGACTACAAAAAGGGAACTACAAAAACAAAAGGTAATCAAACCCAAGGCAGGAAATAAATAATAATAATAATAGAGTAGAATAGAAGCAGCAGAAAAACAAGTGAGGATTTTAATAAACCTGAAGTTGATTCTTTAGAGGATCAAGAAAATCCCCTGAGACTCAGTGCTGTGACATGAAACTCACACTATTAAAACCAGTAGTCGGCCGGGCGGTGGTGGCGCACGCCTTTAATCCCAGCACTTGGGAGGCAGAGGCAGGCGGATTTCTGAGTTTGAGGCCAACCTGGTCTACAGAGTGAGTTCCCGGACAGCCAGGGCTACACAGAGAAACCCTGTCTCAAAAAAAAAAAAACAAAAAACAAAAAAAAAAACAAAAACAAACAAACAAACAAAAAAAAACAGTAGTCAAGTCAGTATTGCCATTACAGTGATAGGAGGGTCCCAGGGAAACAGTCAGTTAGATCACTTACACGAATAGGGATTTTCCTACATAGAGATTGTCTCAGCTTCTTTTCCTGATGCTGTGATAAAGATACCCTGACAAGAGAAACTTCAAGGAGAAAGGTTTCCCTTGGGCTTGCAGTTCAGGGATAGCTCATCATAGCAGGGATTTCAAGGCAGCAGGAGCCTGGAGCAGTGGATCACATGACATTCACACTTAGAAGAAGAAAACGATGCTCACTGTTGCATTTCCTTTCTCCATTTACACAGGCCAGGATCTCAGTCAGATGAGTTTTCTTCATCAATTAATGTAACCAGGAGAATTCCCTCAGAAGCTTGCCCAGAGACCTGTCTCCCACAGGACTCTAGGTCTTGCCAACTTGAGAATTAACACTGACCATCACAGACACTAACAAAAAAATTGAAGAACTTGAAAGTCTTAGTGGATCTGTCACAAATAAATAAATCTAACTAGAAATTCTGAAACTTCCCACAAGAAAGTCTCAAAGCCAAATGGTTTCACTGGGAAACTCTAACAACTGTTTAAAGGAGAATTTATCCCAACATTTCACAGACTTTTTGAGAAAATAGAAAGATTAATCACCAACTTCTCTTTCTGTCTAGCAATACCAATACCAAGGCCGGACAAAGACTCCAGTCCATTTTGAGTAACTATAGTAAACTATTTGTGTCTGGGAAACATAAAGCTACTCGGACATATTTAGCTCACAATTCTAGATTCAGAAGAGGCTAAACAGCATGCCAGAGAGTTGGACAATAGAGGGTGGATTCAGAATGGAAAAAAAATATGTGCAAGTGTCTTTATTCATAATTCTACATAATCTTACTTGAAGAAAGTCACAAGGGAAAACATCCCAGTTGAAAATGAACAGATACTTCACAAGACCTCAAGAAAACATGCCCAGAATCAATTCTCATTGAGGAAACCAACCTGTGGTAATACCAGCATCTGAGCATCAAGTGAACCAGTTTCCTAAGAAGCATTCACAACAATTATCATGTGGAGACAGACCAACAGGAACTTACTGTTGGTAGGGATGCAAATGGCACAGTTACTTTTGAGAGGTGGTTTGGAAGTGTCTTAAAAAGCTAAACATAGTCTGGGCATGTGATCGAGCAAGCATGCTCCTATATATACTAGAAATTTTATAGCCACACACATCTTGCACATGAATGATAAAAACAACTTTACTCATAATGGCCAAAGCCTAAAAGTTACCAAGATGAACCACGACAAGCACATGATAACTTGCACTGTAGAATATTATTCAGAGATAAGTAAGCGGAGACTGGACAGGGGGCTGTGTCAGTAAAGCATGTGCTGCAGAAGCCTAAGGGATTTGATCCCCAGCACCCATGTAAAATGCTGACCATGTGGGCATGTCCTTGTGATCCCAGTCATGGAGAGGAACAGACAGGAGACTCCTGGACCATGCTGACTAGCCAGGCTATCCAGATCGGCAACTCCCAGTCCCCAGTAAAAGACCCTGTCTCAAAATTGAAGGTGAATGGCTCCTGAGGAAGACCCGAGCGGACCCATGGCCTCCACATGTGAGCACAGGGGCCTGTCCACTCAGATGCAGCCATGAATACACACCAACACCCACCCAACCATCCCAACACACAAGCTATGAAGCTGGAAAAGGATGTGGCAATTCATAAAAGCATATTACTGAGAGAGATTAGATAATGTGGACTATTATATACTTACATGATTCCAATTCCATTACAATTCAGTTGCACAGCCATCTCTAGTGGAAGCAGAGAAGGTCATAAAGCACTCTTCCATTTCTAGTCCTGATCTCCATGTGTTGCCCGCCTAGGGTCTTTTAATATTTGTACAACTTGGGATACTAAATTGATGGAAATTTTTCTTATGAATCATTTACACTTTCTTCCAGGAGAACTGCTTCTAGGCGTTCTCAGGAAAGTCCTGAGCATATTACCCTCCCCCCGCCACTGTTAAGGAGATATCCTTATGTGGCCTTACTTGGAGGTCTTCCTTTCACCCTCAAGGTTGTGAATCAAATAAAGACACCAGAGATCTCCTTATGAGGCTCTGACTTCAAGATATTCTTGGAACACCCATCTCAGTCCCGATATTTACTCAAGAACAAGATAATTGGAACAAAATAGACTTTAAAAAGTAAGTGAGACTTGCTGGATTAGAGGCCAGGTTATGACCCTCTTCTTACACTTGGGTAATTACGTGGCATATAAGACTGGGGGCTTCATATGGCATGCCCATCAAGGAAAAGATACAGCAGCAAAGTTAGACTGGTTGGAGTTACCTCTGCCTTACACAAGGACTTACACTTACAAAGAGTAGTGTGGAAAAATGATATAAGATCAAAGTCCTAAGACCTCCCTTTTTAGAAAAGTTAGCTCATGTGGGGCCATTGTGGTGTATGACGGAAGAGCAAAAGAATACCAACATTAGACATATAAATAAATTCTTCAAAGATACAAAATATAAACATTGTATTGTGGCAGAAATTGAATAATGACTACAGCAGCTTTGGCCTGGAGATTTTTCTTGGACCTAATGACAATTAGCACTCTAACCGTTAAAAGTTGATAACACACTGCTTGGGACATGACAATCTGTCCAGGCTGGCTTGAAGACTTTCTTTCTGTCTATTGCCCTTGAAACCATAACATTCTGAAATATTGGGTTATGGGGATGATGAGGGAAAATGATGTAAAAGATAACTCTGTTCTGACATATTTATCAATGATGGCTAAACTTATGATCAAAAAGTTAAAACACATATCCAGGAAATTATATGATCTATGTTTTGGAACATGAATCTATCCTTGCCTACTGAGTTCTGTATAAACATAGAAGCACTCTGACTGCCAGTCAGTCAGGATACAGGTTTCCCCTGACCCCTATCCCTGGCTCACTCCTCCATCACTGACTCCTTATGTCCTCTGTGGGACTTGACCATTGGCAGGGCTGGCACCTGGTGTTTAGGGGGCCTGTGGGGGGAGACCGAACTATAGGGATGTTAGCAATCAGTAGTTGGTTGCCAAGTGCTTGCTCAAGAGGGAAGGTCCAGTAGTTTTTAATGAGGTGGAATTCTGTGTGAATCATGAATTCACTATACTATATATTGTTGTCAAAACCACAGAGCGTTACAGCTAAAGACTGAACCTCAGTGTTTGCAATTTTGATCTTTCTAAGACAGAGTCTTTCTTACATATCCCAGGCCAGCCTTGAACACCCTTTGTAGCCTCAGTTGACATTGAACTTATGATCCTCCTTCCTCTGTCTCCCAAGTTCTGGGGTTTCAGGAGTATGCCACCTTTCTCTATTTTGTGTGCCCAGGGCTTGGTGCTTGTCAGGTAAGCATTGACACACTACATCCTCAGCTCAGTGTTCACAAATGTGTGTGTAAGGCAACTTCATCATTGCCGAAGAACATTGTTTCCTAAAAGAAATACCTTACTAGTGTCTTATAGATGAAGTATCAGATATGGATAATGACACACTATTTGTTTATTAGTCAATTTGTGCCATTGTCCCAGTTATCAGTACAGTAAAATTTTATATATTTTAAAAGAAGATATTGAATGTAGATAATGGTCTAATAGCCTGAAATATGCTGACTGAATATTCCTATTAAAATACTCTATATTATATTTTATTATTTACTTATTTTTATTATATTATTATTTATACTAACACTTATTAATCAATTCCCAGAAAGTACACAGGAATAGCTTCCTTCGTTTTGGAGGGTGTTTATTTGTATGTGCTGGGAATGGAATTCACAGCCTTGTCTTTTACAAGTAGTGTCCCACTGACCTAAATCCCAAATGCCAAGACATATGAATCAGACGTTTATTTCTTTCTCTTGCAAAGATTGGAAATGACGGCTGTGGAAAGGAAACATATGGAACCATAGCCTGCTATGTCGCAGAATACAAAATATGCAAAGTGCCTATCTCTCACAACTATGCCATCTCAGAGTTCAAAGAAACATTTAAAAAGGTGTTTATTCAAGCCGGCTTGGAAGAGGTCCCCACGGTTGTCATGGTTGCCAACTTACAAGAAGAACACGTATGTGCTCCATGTTTCCATTACTTGCTAAAAGTTGGTACTGGTGTCCCCCAGAAGGTTCACGTTTTTATATGTTTTCCTACTCGCTCACCGTTTCAGCCCTTTGCACTCTCTGCTCATCCAGTCACGCTATAGTTCTGAGTAGACAAACAGCAGAAGTATTTCCTGTTTTTGTGATTTCCATTTTAATCAACCGATTAGAAGTAGTTACTACTCATAGCAAAATCATCCATGTGGTATCAAAACTCCTCTGTTCTGTGCTGCACAGATGTGCACAGATGTGTGTATAATCTACGCTGCTGAAGCAGCTTGGGGCACTTGGCTTCCTCTCCTTTCTCCATCACCATCAGGATTTTCCTTGCATGAGTGTTGTTTACATGCAAGCAAAAACTACTTTGCACAAATTGTGTCCAGGGATGTTGTATGTGACTTGCATTCTGATAAAATACACTTAAAAATATTATTTAAAACCGTACCCTGCTTTTTCTCCTCATTCTGGTTCTCTATTAGATAAAAATATAAATTTTCTGCCTTTTTTGTGTACTCTTCCTTCCCCAAGTCTGAGCATTGTGCCCTACTGCCGAGATGCTGTTTCTGCCATGCACAGTGCCTGCCATCCTAATTTCATTGATGGTTTTCTGGAAAACCATCTCAGGCCAAAGGCTGAGATGAAAGTTAGTGGAGGGAAAGGGAAAGAAAGAGACTTGTTTAAATTAAAATAACACCTCCACCAGGCTATTTCTAGGTTTTCCTCTGGTCGGAAGCAGATGTGGGCATATCAAGTTTTCTTTTAACTGCTTAAAACAAGGTCCCTGCCTGGATCGCTGCCATGTACCCAGGGGCATGGTATCCACTGAGTACCAAGTATATGTCTCCCTGACATGTTTAAATTAATGGGCGGGCAGATGAAGCTTATTCTGGTGAGTTTGGATTAAGATGTCATTTTTTTATCATAAGTAGTCTTGGTTACTTTCTCAATCTGTTTAGCATAGAATGTATGGTTTATTCATTCCTGGTTAATGTATGTTTCCCTTAAGGTGTCATTTCTGGAAGATTTGAACTACATTATCAATGCAGGAAAGATTTCTAACATGTTTGAAAGTGAGGAGCTGGATTCTATTGTTATGAGAGTCAGAACATTTGCTGAGCAGTCGAGCTGCATGGATGATAGAAAATATTTACTCTCACTTTTCCAAAAGGTGCTGTTTTGTGTCTTGATTTTATCAAGTTGTCATGGCAAAGTGAAAGCAGGTCATATTATAATTCTGTACATGATCTTCAAGTTGTATGAACTAAAAAGAGCATCCATTTTTAGATCCCAGAGATAGAATCCAGTTGCTAGATAACAAACAAGATGAGTAAATGCTTGGAAGCCCTGCAGCCTTTCTGGTTTTCAGCCTTACCACACGTCTCTGGCAGACAGTTGCTTGTTACCTGGAGTTGTCAGTGATTTCTGCCTGTTGGACTCTTAGCTAACGGAAGTGTGCCGACTGCTGAGGCCATTCCAGCTCTGTGGATTGTTGTAAAGTAGCTCACGGAAACAAAAGGGAAAGGATCTATGTCCTGTGGCCAGTCCTGACAAAACCTCGGCTACAGCCGCTGAGTTGAGTCTTAAGAGCAAAGGGGATACAGGCAGATTTCAATGTCTGTCTAGTGTCTGTACTCTCCCACCAGGACATTTGATTGCATGTAGCACAAGGGACTTGCCCATGGAAAGTGGCATGCTGCCGCAGATTGTAGTTTTGAATGAAATTAATAGTCATCTTAATCATAGAAAAAAAAAAACAAAGAAACTGGTTGTTAGCCTAAGACCTACACATTAGCACACACTGCCTTGTCATACCCACTAACTCTAAGATACTCTTTAACCTCCACCTCCATCTCTCCTTTCTCTTTTTCAGTTCCAATTAATCTGACTGCTATCACACTTTGAGTTTCTGTAAGTTACTAAGGGCATACCACCCCAGAGAGAGTTAAGCAGTAGACTCATCACTATCTGACACAAGCACCTCCCACCTCATAAGGGTTGGTATTGGACCCACCATCTGGACACAACAGGCACAGTCAAATGGGGCAGAAGGCTCTGTGGGTCCCTGCTCCCCTGGAAGAGCCCTGCTGGTGGCAGACAGGATACAATCAGCTAGTCTCTTAAGAGTCTATCTGGTTAAGAAACAGCTGAGACAAGTTTAAAATGGAATTTTCAATATAGTATCTTTTTTTTCAAAATAGGGAATTACATTTTAACAACGTGTATGTTCCTCAATTTCAGAGAGTATCTAAAAATCTGCATATTTGTTTGATGAGTACCACAGGACCTAACTTCCGACATAACTGTCGAGTTTACCCCTCTATGATTAGCTCCTGCACGATCGACTGGTTCCAGAGGTGGCCTGATGAGGCTCTCCTTGTTGTGGCCAACTCCTACCTGGAAGAAAAGCTGAAGGTGGAGAACAAAGAGGTAAGCAGCTGCAGACAGCTACGCTGTGGCTTATGACGAACTGTGCCTGAGTGGCCGTGGCTGGGGCGGGGCGGGTGGGGGTGGGGGTCGCAGAGGCAGCCCTGAGCCAGGCTGCGCACATTTTTCACCCTTAACTCTTCACAAGCTCCACGTTTGTTCTGTCTCCTATGCCACCTTGCTCAGGGCTGCCTGGGCGGTACACTGCCTAGGTTGCCTCTCTTACCATTTTGTACAGTAACTTCTTTCATGAGAATTATGGAATCTTCTGAGTATTTCTCTTTAAAAGTTTTCTTGGCAACTAGTGCTGGTGAGACAGCCCAGTGGTTAAAAGCACTGGCTGCTCTTGTAGACTACCTGGGGCTGATTCCCAGCACCCGTGTAGATGCTCACAACCATCTGTAACTCCAGTTCCAGAGAATCCAGTGTCGTCTTCTGGCTTCTGTGGACACTGCACACACAAGGTACATAGACACACATGTAGGCAAAACACCCATACACATAAAACATCAGTGACTTTCCAGACAGTGATGGCACATAATTTTATGAAATCTCTGAATTTGAGGCCAGCCTGGTCTACAGAGAGAGTCCCAGGACAGCCAGGGCTATACAAAATTTCTTGACAATTTCACACACAGAGAAGGCGTACTGATGGCTCTCACCCACTGCTGTCTTTCCCCTTTCTCCCCTTTCCCCCCTCCCCTTCCCCCTCCCCCTTCCCACTACTCCCCTCCCACTACTCCCCCCCCTCCTTCCTTGGTCTCCTGTCTGTTTGTGTCTTGTGAGCACAGCATGTGGTATCTTCAGCGGTGGGTCTTAACCTCAAGTTCTAGTGGGCAACCAAGAGGGCTGACAAAGCTGGCATTGTTAAGGGGCTTTTTAAGAGTCTCCCTAACAACCCCTTTTGCACGACAGACCCTTTGGTAAGAATTCTGCAGTCTTCCATGTCTTTCATTTTTTTATCTTAGTCATGAAATGTATTCTTTGACAATGTCATAGAGAAAGTGATTGGTATAAAGCATGCACCGATTTCTCTCAGGCTAGCTTCATTTCACACCCTGACTGTTCTAAGGGCATTAAACTAAAGATACCATAAGGCCTAGCTGTCTGAAAGGGTTAAAGACGCTGACAAAGGGGGTTGTAAATGCCTAAAGGCCAGAGACTCATTGCAGGCCTTTGAAAGGGCTTATATCTCTACAGGCCCAAGCATCCAAAGAGAGCAGACAGAGAAGGGCAGGGAAAGGCCAGAGACACCAAGACTCTGCAACATTGTTAAAAGTGACCCAAAGCCAGTGGGGCTTGGTGTCTAGAGACTGGAGACAGAGTTCAGCCTGAATGCTCTACATTCTAATCACAGTGGGAGTTCTTTCCTACTCTAGGCCAGTGGATCTGGAAGCTTTACCAGACTCAAACTTGGTAGAGTGCCACGGTTTTTTGTTTGTTTGTTTGTTTGTTTGTTTTTTGGGGTTTTTTTTTGGTTTGTTTGTTTGTTTGTTAATCTCTGTCAGAAAGAAAAAGAAACTAATGTCCCAAGGACCCTGTGCTGGCTAGTTTCATGTCTACTTAACACAAGCTAGCTTTATCTGAAAGGAAGAAATGCCAACTGAGAAAATGCCTCCATAAGATCCTGCTATAGGCAAGCCTGGAGAGCATTTTCTTAATTAGTGATTGATTGGTGAGCCTCAGCCCCAGCCCAGCCACAGCCACAGCCACAGCCACAGCCACAGCCACAGCCACAGCCACAGCCACAGCCACAACCACAGTCCGTTGTAGGCAGTGCCATACCCAGGCTGGGGGTCCTGGCTTCTATAAGAAAGCAGGATGAGCAAGCCAATAAGCAACACCTCCATGGCCTCTGCCTCCAGCCAGGTTCCTGCCGTGTTTTGAGCTCCTGTCCTGGCTTCCTTCGATGATGAACAGTACTATGGAAGTGTACGCTGGATAAACTCCTTCCTCCCCAGCTTGCTTTCTTCAGTCATAGTGTTTTATTGTAGCAATAGTGACCTTGACTGAGACAAGATCTGAGTGTTATGCTGGGTCCCTAAGTCCTTGGGTGGCTCTAGCAGGGATGAGCACACAAGCAGAAGAATGAACCTGGTATGGCATTAGTCACTCACAGTTGCCTCCTTACCTTAGCTCCTTCCATCTTTAAAACTCTTGTGATTGTGGTGCCCAGGACTGGCCTCTATAATTCTGTCTCTCAGAAATGCTGGCGTATTTCAAGTAACTTCTCATTCTTCTCTATTTATGTTCTCTTGTGATTCTTAAGCATTGTTGTTCTTCAGGATAAAATAAGACAGTTTGCCCCAACCTGTGTTGAAATTCACAAAAGTATGAAAGAGTTGAGCGTAAAATACTTTGAAGAAACTGGAAGACACTATTACATCACTCCCAGTTGCTACTTTAAGTTCTTGGAGACATTTACCCACAATCTGAGGGTAAGACAGGAGGAGATGCAGACAAAGAGGTAAGGCTTTGACTAAAGCAGAACCCCGTGTTTTTACATCAGTGCTCGAGTGTCTATAAAATGTTGTCTATAAAAGATAGGCATAAATACAAAATAATGAATTCAAACCTACCTTTCATGTGGGGGTCTTTGGGCCAACAACTAGGGTGGATCCTATGGAGACAGTCCGCACCTCCCCTCCCCTGCATGCATCCAGAGGCCACCCTACCATGTCAAGACTGATAGATCTACCAGAGAGACGTCAATTCTCACCAACATAGTCAGTGGAAGCAAGGGGATGACTATCAGTGCTGTTCTCTGTGGCTTTGGGGATAATACCAAAAGACAAGTGGCCAGATGACTATAGCACAGATAGCTAAGAACATGTGTCACATTTCCTCAAAGCACAATATGGGTCGTAGCTCTCACTGAGAATATGGGGAGAAAACAGAAGGCAGGAAACCTCAGGCTAATTAGACCCGTCACCATCATTGTTGTTGTTGATAATGATGATGATGTTAGAATATCTTCTACTTTTTCTTTGACAATTTTATACATATCTACATTGTATCTCGATCATACCCATCCCAACACTCCACTTCCCTCACCCTCCACCCTCTCTCCTCAAATCTTCCCACTTTTATATACTCCTCTTTTTTTCTTGTTCTGAGTTCAGTTAGTCCTGCTTGCTGGGATGTTGAGCAGATCTTGTTGACGTGGGTTCGTCTGGGTGATGAGCTTCAGTGGACCCAAGCACTATGCCATGTCATGTCCAGAGGAAGCCTTTCACAGCGTTTCTCCCTGCCTTCAGTTCTTACACGTTTTCCACCATCTTTGTGACGTTTTTATGGTGCTAGGGATTCAAGCGTGCTAGGCAAGCAGTCTGCCACTAACTTACTCCCACCACCCTCACACATCACCAGAACCCAGGAGACAGTGAGAATCACGGCAACCCCCTGGAGAGAAAGTAAACGGATAGGAACCTGCCTTGTAACAATCCTACTCATAAATATCCAGAATTCTCACATGCCAGGAGATCAACAGAGCTCTTGTTGAGGGTCAGAACCACTGCAGGTGAGTGGTACCTAGATGGGCTTCAGATACCACAGGACAGATACAGGCCTGTTGTGTGTCCAGCTAACAAGTCTTTAAAATTTAAAAAAAAAAAAAAAGCTCCTTTGGGCTGGGACAGACACAGAGTTGGTCTGCTGCTGTGGAGATACTGAATCCTGAGCCATCCTAGAGGAGCCACTGCACTCAGAGCAGCTGGTAAGAACTCCATCTCACTCCCTAAGCCCCAGAGATACATCTGGGAGCCAGGAACATACAGGACACACCAGCTACCCAAACCCCACCCCTCCAGAATTCCACTTCCCTTCCGCCCCTGCCTGGTCCTTTGGGCTGGGGCAGACACAGAGTTGGTCTGCTCCTGTGGAGATACTGAATCCTGACCCATCCTAGAGGACCCACTGCACTCAGAGCAGCCAATACAGAGTTGGTCTGCCCCTGTGGAGATACTGAATCCTGAGCCATCCTAGAGGAGCCACTGCACTCAGAGCAGCCGAGGAGCCACTGCACTCAGAGCAGAAGACACCAGGTGGTTTGCACTTGGGAGACATCGTATCCTGAGCCATCCTAGAGGAACCATTGCACCCAGAGCAGAAGGATTTCCAGATCCAAGAGGTGGCCTGAGTCCCAGGAGTTCTTCCACCCAGGAGATTAGGAGCATAAGACCACAGAGACATCTGGACTCTGAGGAGCTCTGCAACAAACAAGATAACTGGAAATACAGACTCCAGTCTTACACAGTGAGGGCAGGTAACACTAGAGTTAACCAGATGGCGAAAGGCAAGTGCAAGAACATAAGCAACTGAAACCAAAGTTTCTTGGCATCATCAGTACCCAGTTCTCCCAATATAGCAAGCCCTGGACACCCCATCACACCGGAAAAGCAGGATTCAGAATAAAAATCACTTCTCATGACGATGATAGAGGATTATAAGAAGGACCTAAGTAACTCCCTTAAAGAAATACAGGAGAGTACAAGTAAATAGGTAGAAGCCCTTAAAGAGGAATCATAGAAATCCCTAAAAGAAATGCAAGAAAACACAAAGAAGGAATTAAACAAAACCATTCAGGATCTGAAAATGGAAATAGAAACAATAAAGAAAGCTCAAAGGGAGACAACCATGGAGATAGAAAACCTAGGAAAGAGATCAGGAGTCATAGAGGCAAGCATCACCAACCAAATACAAGAGATAGAAGAGAGAATCTCAAATGTAGAAGATACGGTGGAAAATATTGACACAGTTGTCAAAGAAAATGCAAAATGCAAAAAACTCCTAACTCAAAACATCCAGGAAATCCAGGACACAATGAGAAGACCAAACCTAAGGATAATAGGTATAGATGAGAATGAAGATTCCCAACTTACAGAGCCAGTAAATATCTTCAACAAAATTATTGAAGAAAACTTCCCTAACCTAAAGAACAAGATGCCCATAAACATACAAGAAGCCTACAGAATACCAAATAGACTAGACCAGAAAAGAAATACCTCCCGTCACATAATAATCAAAACATCAGATGCACAAAACAAAGAAAAAATACTAAAAGCAGTAAGGGAAAAAGGTCACGTAACATATAAAGGCAGACCTATAAGAATTACACCAGACTTCTCACCAGAGACTATAAAAGCCAGAAGAGCCTGGACTGACATCATACAGACCCTAAGAGAACACGATTGCCAGCCCAGATTACTATACCCAGCAAAACTCTCAATCACTATAGATGGTGAAACCAAGATATTCCATGACAAAACCAAATTTGCACAATATCTTCCCACAAACCCAGCACTTCAAAGGATAATTGATGGAAAATGCCAACACAAGGAGGGAAACTACAACCTAGGAAAAGCAAGTAAGTAATCTTCCAACAACCCCCCAAAAAGATACAAACATAACTTTACCTCTAATAACAAAAATAACAGGAAGCAACAATCATTTTTCCTTAATATCTCTTAACATCAATGGTCTCAATTCCCCAATAAAAAGACGCAGACTATCAGACTGGATACACAAACAAGACCCAGAATTTTGCTGCATACAAGAAACGCACCTCAGTGACAAAGACAGACACTATCTCAGAATAAAAGGGTGGAAAACAATTTTCCAAGCCAATGGTCCCAAGAAACAAGCTGGAGTAGCCATTCTAATATCAAATAAAATCGACTTTCATCCAAAATTAATCAAAAAAAATAAGGACACTTCATACTCATCAAAGGAAAAATCTACCAAGGTGAACTTTCAATTCTGAACATCTATGCTCCAAATGCAAGGGCACCTACATACATAAAAGAAACTTTACTAAAGCTCAAAATATACATTACACCTCACACAATAATAGTGGGGGATTTCAACACCCCACTCTCAGCAATGGACAGATCATGGAAACAGAAACTAAACCGAGACACTTTGACATTAACAGAAGTTATGAACCAAATGGACTTAACAGACATCTATAGAACATTTCATCCTAAAACAAAAAGAATATAGAATATACCTTTTTCTCAGCACCTCATATAATTGATCACAAAACAGGCCTCTACAGATACAAAATGATTGAAATGATCCCTTGCATCTTATCAGATCACCACGGACTAAGACTGGTCTTTAATAATGACAAAACCAATGGAAAACCCACGTATACATGGAAACTGAACAACTCTCTACTCAATGATGACTTGGTCAAGGAAGAAATAAAGAAATTAAAGACTTTTTAGAATTCTATGAAAATGAGGACACACACCAAAACTTGTGGGACTCCATGAAGGCAGTGCTAAGAGGAAAACTCATAGCTCTAAGTGCCTACAAAAAGAAACTGGAGAGAGCACACACTAACAACTTGACTGCACAACTAAAAGCTCTAGAACATAAAGAAGCAAGTACACCCAGGAGGAGTAGAAGGCAGGAAATAATCAAACTCAGGGCTGAAATCAACCAAATAGAAACAGAAAGAACAATACAAAATACCAACAAAACCAGGAGCTGGTTCTTTGAGAAAATCAACAAGATAGGTAAACCATTAGCCAGATTAACCAGAGGGCACAGAGACAGTATCCAAATTAATAAAATCAGAACTGAAAAGGGAGACATAACAACAGAAACTGAAGAAATTCAAAAAATCATCAGATCCTACTACAAAGGCCTATACTCAACAAAACTGGAAAACCTGGATGAAATGGACAACTTCCTAGACAGATACCAGGTACCAAAGTTAAATCAGGAGCAGATAAACCATCTAAATAGTCCCATAACCCCTAAGGAAATAGAAGCAGTCGTTAAAAGTCTTACCACTAAAAAAAGCCCAGGACAAGATGGTTTTAGTGCTGAATTCTATCAGACCTTCAAGGAAGACCTAATACCAATTCTCTTCAAACTATTCCACAAAATAGAAACAGAAGGAACACTACCCAATTTGTTCTATGAAGCTACAATTACACTCATACCCAAACCCCACAAAGACCTGACAAAGAAAGAGAACTTCAGACCAATCTACCTTATGAACATCGATGCAAAAATACTCAATAAAATTCTAGCAAACCGAATCCAAGAACACATCAAAACAATCATCCATCATGATCAAGTAGGTTTTATCCCAGGAATGCAGGGATGGTTCAATATTCAGAAATCCATCAATGTAATCCACTATATAAACAAACTCAAAGAAAAAAAAACACATGATCATCTCACTAGATGCTGAGAAAGCATTTGACAAAATTCAACATCCCTTCATGATGAAAGTCTTGGAAAGATCAGGAATTCAAGGCCCCTACCTAAACATAGTAAAAGCAATTTACAGCAAACCAGTAACCAACATCAAGCTAAATGGAGAGAAACTTGAAGCAATCCCACTAAGATCAGGGACTAGACAAGGCTGCCCACTCTCCCCCTACCTATTCAATATAGTACTGGAAGTCCTAGCCAGAGCAATTAGATAACAAAAAGAAGTCAAAGGGATACAAATAGGAAAGGAAGAAGTCAAAACATCACTATTTGCAGAGGATATTATAGTATACTTAAGTGACCCCAAAACTTCCACCAGGGAACTCCTAAACCTGATAAACAACTTCAGCAAAGTGGCTGGTTATAAAATCAACTCAAACAAATCAGTAGCCTTCCTCTACATGGAAGATAAACAGACTGAAAAAGAAATTAGGGAAATGACACCCTTCACAATAGTTGCAAATAATATAAAATACCTTGGTGTGAATCTAACCAAGCAAGTGAAAGACCTGTATGACAAGAACTTCAAGTCCCTGAAGAAAGAAATCGAAGAAGATCTCAGAAGATGGAAAGATCTCCCATGCTCATGGATTGGCAGGATTAATATAATAAAAATGGCCATCTTGCCAAAAGCAATCTACAGATTCAAAAATGGCCATCTTGCCAAAAGCAATCTACAGATTCAATGCAATTCCCATTAAAATCCCTACTCAATTCTTCACAGAGTTAGAAAAGGAAATTCTCAAATTCATATGGAATAACAAAAAACCCAGGATAGCGAAAACTATTCTCAACAATAAAAGAACTTCGGGAGGAATCACCATCCCTGACCTCAAGCTGTACTACAGAGCAATAGTGATAAAAAAAAAAAAAACTACCTGGTATTGGTACAGAGACAGGCAGGAAGATCAATGGAATAGAATTGAAGACCCAGAAATGAACCCACACTCCTATGGTCACTTGATCTTTGACAAAGGAGCTAAAACTGTCCAGTGGAAAAAGGACAGCATTTTCAACAAATGGTGCTGGTTCAACTGGAGGGCAACATGTAGAAGAATGAAAATTGATCCATTCTTATCTCCTTGTACAAAGCTCAAGTCTAAGTGGATAAAGGACCTCCACATAAAACCAGATACACTGAAACTAATAGAAGAGAAGGTGGGGAAGAGCCTCGAATACTTGGGCACAGGGGAAAAGTTCCTGAACAGAACACCAATGGCATATGCTCTAAGATCAAGAATTGACAAATGGGACTTCATAAAATTGCAAAGTTTCTGTAAGGCAAAGGACACTGTCAATAGGACAAAACAACAACCAACAAATTGGGAAAAGATCTTTACCAATCCTACATCTGATAGAGGGCTAATATCCACTATATACAAAGAACTCAAGAAATTAGACTCCAGACAACCAAATAACCCTATTAAAAAATGGGGTATAGAGCTTAACAAAGAATTTTCAACGGAAGAAACTCGAATGGCTGAGAAGCACCTAAAGAAATGTTCAGTGTCCTTAGTCATCAGGGAAATGCAAATCAAAACAACCCTGAGATTCCATCTCACACCAGTCAGAATGGCTAAGATTAAAAACTCAGGTGATAGTAGATGCTGGCGAGGGTGTGGAGAAAGAGGAACACTCCTCCATTGTTGGTGAGACTGCAAGATGGTGCAACCACTTTGGAAATCAGTCTGGCAGTTCCTCAGAAAATTGGACATAGCATTACCTGAGGATCCAGCTATACCACTCCTAGGCATATACTCAGAAGATGCTCGAACATATAACAAGGACATATGCTCAACTATGTTCATAGCAGCCTTATTTATAATAGCCAGGAGCTGGAAAGAACCCAGATGTCCTTCAACTGAGGAATGGATTCAAAAAATATGGTATATTTACACAATGGAGTATTACTCAGCTATTAAAAACAATGAATTCGAGAGTTTCCTAGGTAAATGGATGGAACTAGAAATTATCATCCTGAGTGAAGTAAGCCAATCACAAAAGAACACACATGGTATTCACTCACTGATTATCGGATATTAGCCCAGAACCTTGAAATGCCCAAGATGCAACTCACAGGCCACATGAAGCTCATGAAGAAGGAAGACCAAGTGGGGGTGATTCGGTCCTTCTTAGAAGGAGCAACAAAATACTCAAGGGAGCAAATATGGAGACAAAGTGAGGGACAGAAGCTGAAGGAGGGGCCGTCTGAAGACCATTCCACCTGGGTATCCATCCCATGTGCAGTCACCAAAGGTAGATGCTGATGTGGAAGTCAGGAAGTGCATGCTGATATGGATATCTCCTCAGAGGTCTTCAAGAGTCTGACATATTCAGAGGCAGATGCTCACAACTAGCCATTGAAGTGATCATGGGGTTCTCAATGGAGGAGTTAGAGTGAAGACTGAAGGAGCTGAAAGGATTTGTGGCCCCATGAGGAGAGCAACAATACCAACCAACCACCGCTCCCAGAGTCTAAACCACCAGCCTGGGAGCACTTAGGGAGGGATCCAGGGCTTCAGCTGAATATGTAAGAGTGGAGGGCCCTGCTGGGCATAGGTGGAAGAAGAGATCCTTGACCTCATGAAGGCTGGACGCCCCAGGGGGTGGGAATTTTGAGGGTGGGGAGGTGGGAGTGGGGGGGTAGGTAGAGGTTACATCCACAGAGAAGAAGGAGGAGGGGTGACGGGATAGGGGGGTTCCTGGGTGGGTGGGGGATGGGGTAAGGGGACAACATATGAAATGTAAATAAAACATCCAATAAAAAAGAAAGCCACTTTGTCTGATTCAGGTTGTCTGATGGATGAGAGTAGCTATAGTGACAACCCCACCAAGAGAGATGCTAAGCCACAGCCAGAAGCTCTGGATGGAGCAGAGCCACCTCACTCCTCCCAGTGTTTCTAGACATACTGGCAGCTGTACATACTCTGCCTAGATTCAGGGTCAGATTTCATTGAGTTTTGTTAACAGTATCAGGTGGGCATGAAAGACTGTACCAGCTAAATGCAGAGCAGTTGGGAGAGTCGGAACACAGGCTAAAGAAGCCACACGGAGTTCAAAAGTGAATCTTGCTCTCCTGCTCAAGTGCAGGTGTCTGCCGTCTGGGAGGTTTTCATGACATTAAGATTTTTGTTGTTCAGAAGTGAAATGGAGGAATAGGTAAATTGCCCAACTTCCCTCCAGGGAGCTTGCCTTCTGCTCCTACATGGAGGAGCTGTGCTATCTCCTTTCCCTCCGAAAGACTCTTGCCGTCCACTCATGGCTGCATACCTGCTGTCACTAAAGCTCCTCCTCTAAGTGAGCCCATCTTCTTACTGTTTCCTGCCCCTTAACAAGTTGAGGTAATTCCTCCTGGCTCCTAGTTCTCTTTCTGTTGTGATTTTTCTCAAGTGCTTTTATACCTTTCTAGTTGATAGGGACATCTGATTTTCCTACTTTAGACTTCTAATATGTGGTGGGGTATGTGTCAATTGACTTTCAAATCCTGAATTTGTCTTAAATTCCTAAAATATAAATGCTGCTTGATCCTCATGTGTAATTCTCTATATGGTATTAAATTGCATTTCCTAATATTTGGTTATATTCTTCGTACAGTGATCACTGACATCTAGTACTTAGAATGCTGACATAGAGAGCTCAGAGAGCTTGAGATTTTGGAGATTTCAGATCAGGGATACTCATCCAGGACACCTCACATCTAAAACACTTCTGGTATTAAGCATTTCAGATATGGAAAGGTCAACCTACTCTTTGCTTCCGCTTCAGGAATCGCTTCTACATGGGACTTTCCAAGATTCTGGAAGCAACTGCACTAGTCACAGACATGCAGGAAGAGCTTTTGATTATTGGTCCTCAAATAGAACAAAAAGCAAAGGTATTTTTAGTCTTAATTCTCTCCTGAAGGTTTTATAGTCTGATACAGAACCGTGTCCAGAAGCAAAGGGTTCATTTCACCTCCCAGATTATAGTTCATCTTCAAAGGAAGTCAGGACGGGAACTCGAGGTAAGAACTGAAGCAGAGGCCGAGGAGGAGCACTGCTTACTGGCTCGCTCTCGTGGCTTGCTCAATACAAACAAAGACCACCGGTCCACCAGTGCACTGCCCACAGTGGACGTTCCCACTCAGACCTGCCTCCAGGCCAGTCCTAAGGAAGCATTCTCTCAGTTACAATCTGTCCTTCCCAGACGATCCTAGGTCCTATCAAGTTAACATACAAACCAAACAGTCCCATGACTAGCTATAAACACTGATGGAAAAAAGTGAAAAAGTCTTTAGGTAATTAGTTAAGTCCATTAGAAATCTGCTATGGTAATTTTCAGGTTGTCAATTATTTTGAAAGCCATTGCTTGTCTCGTGTGTGTGTGTGTGTGTGTGTGTGTGTGTGTGTGTGTGTGTTGCTAGAAATTAAAAGGCTCAACCACAGGCAAGCGCTCTACCACTGAGGTATACCCTTAACTCTTGTTATCTTTATATACATATATTCTCCTTATGAAACCCCAGTTATACCTATGTGAGACCCTTTACATAAAGTTATTTTCATCTGTATGGGTGAATTGTCCACATGTATACATGTGTGCCTAGTGCCTGCACAGGTCAGAAGAGAACATCAGATCCCCTGGAACTGGAGTTACAGATGGTGAGCTACCATGTAGGTTCTTGGAATTGAACCTGGGTCCTCTGGAAGAGCATCCAGTGCGCTGAACCTTGTAGTCACCTCTCTAGCCCCTTGTCATCTTTCTTGATGTGTAGGAATCATCCTCATGGTAGCCATCCTAATTACTCTGTTACATATAATTCAGGCTAAATTTCTATAAATTGTATAGTTATTAAATTAACTGCTGTAAAGAAATTCTGTGTCAAAATTCATTCTAAGAGAACTGTTTGACTTATTAGGAAAAAGAAATATTGATGGAAAAACTCCGGAAAGATTCACAAATAGTCGAAAAGGTTCAGGTGCTTGTGAAACAGGATGAGGAGATTGTGGCTGAACAAGTAAAGATTGTGGAAGAGTACGCTCAGGTGAGCTGAGTTCAGTGACTCCGAGCTGCCTGGGACTCTGAACCACCACAGGGAAAGGCAGTGGCCCTCTCCTTTTATCCCAGCAAATGTGGTTTGAGCCCCAACTCCATACAGGAAGCTACGAAGGGAAAATAGAGAGCACAGCCATGAACAGCCCCTGCCCTGGGAGGCTCTGCAGGCTGCATTAGAACTCACATGAGCCTTGCCTGCAGGAGCAGCGTCCGTCCGCTAGGAGACGAGCAGCTCTTGAGGACAGCAGCTCCAAGTGGACCACTTCCAATGTTGACTTTCGAAACCCTCTGTTCACTTCTGTCTCTCCCAGTTACAATTCCAGCAGGAGCCAGCGTGACATTCTGGATTAAGTTTGCTCAACCCCAGTCTGCTTCCTAGCCAGTCCTTCCTGATAAGCAACCACACACATTGAAAGAGATTGATTTGTTTCCCCAGGACACCACAAGCTGTACTCACTGGCTAATCTGCCAAGGCATGGGTCATTATGAAGGCTAAATTTCTATAAATTGTATAGATATTAAATTAACTGCCCTAAAGAAATTCTGTGTCAAAATCCATTCTAAGAGAACTGTTTAACTTATTAGGAAAAATAGATATTGACGGAAAAACTGCGGAAAGAGTCAAAAATAAGCCTGTCAAGGTTTATTATGAACCAAATGTGAGTGCAGATTGCAAGTTGTTCTCTGATAACTTAAAAATGTCCCTTTTTCTCTCTCTCGGATGTGGGCCCTGCTGGCAGAGAACTTGGCATATAGAACAAGCTGACCTTGAACTCGCAGGGATCCACCTGCCTCTGCGTCTTCAGGGCTGGGATTAAAGTGATGTGCCCCCATGCCTGGCTTCTTATCAGAGCCGATGAGCTCTCCATTGCTCTCCTTGTTGTTGTCTGAGAAAAGGTCTCACTATGCAGCCCAAACTAGCCTGAATCTTGCTGTGTAGTCCAGGCTGGTCTTCAACTCATGAGATCGACCAGACTCTGCCTTTCAAGTGCTAGGACTGAAGAAGGAAACCACCGTGTTCAGCCCCTTGTCAGTATCAACAATAACACAGCCAACAGAACCACTCCTCAAAGGGCATCCCTCACCCTGTGTCTGACAAGGCAGTCACATAGTGTCTCTGCTTTCCATGCATGGATAGGGATCACCAGGGGCTACACAACATACTGCGTTTCATTTACAAAACACTCTCCATGACAGACGCCTGTGCACACATGGCTAATTCGCACTATAAAATTTCCCATCAACCTGTCAACTTTAGATATGCGACTGTATTTGTTCCTTCATTGCAGAAAACTTCCAATGAGCTAAAAAGTGTGCTGCCTTCTCTAGACAAGGCAATTGTGGCCCTAAATGCCCTGGATAAAAGTGATATTTCTGAATTAAGGTGAGTAATTTTCTGTCTCTTTTGAGTTAAAAGACTCCTGAATAGAATGTGTGGGAAAATCTGCATTCCAATTTTATAAGAATTAATTTGTACCCACTTGGTTCCTGTAAATTTGTCATTATCTGTGGTATTTACAGATAATAAGATCTAGCTTCCGCTAGACTGAAGCCCTTACGCTCACAAGCAAGCACTTCACCAGCTGAGCCATCCCCTTGGCCACAAATTCACTGCATAGATAACAGTTAACTTAGTTTCACAACAGCAGACCAGAGCACATCACCGTTCTCAAGTTAATCCTCCTAAGACTGGCAGAGCAGACGCACAGAGAACGGATAGGTCTGGGGTGAGACCAGGGCAAAGGAGTGGACAGCACAAATGTCCCGGAAGTGTGCTCAGTGCTTTTCAGGGACTTCAAAAGACCAAAGTGGCTAGAGCTGGCAGCAAAGAGGGGTGTCAGGATAGTGAAATGGGGTCAGAGTGTTCACAGAGGCCCAGCTTTCCCCACCCAGCAGACACCCCCCCCCAGAAAGCCTACACCTTGCAAGTTTCTTGCAGAAGATCCTATTTGATTAACTACTGTTCTAAAAGATATTCCTGACAGAGTAACCTTAATACCTATAATTTCTTCTTATTATTAATTTAAAATAAGTATTTGTTGAGGGAGCAGGATATGTGTACCTGAGTGTGGGTGCCTAAGGAGAGCAGAACGTCAGATCCCGTGAAATTACAGGTTACTGGTGAAGCCACCCAGTGTGGGTTCTGGGAACCAAACCTAAGTCCTCTACAGGAGCAGTCCATGCTTCTAATCAGCAAGCTGTCTCTATAGCTCCCCAGCCTCCCACACACCGTCTGCAAGCAGTGAAGCATGTGACTGGAATCTAGCACTGCCACTTTCTCCCCAGCTGCACTTGAGCTTCCCCTATGCAGTGGGGTGGCAGATGAGGGTCCTAGTCAGCTAATATGACAGCCTCACTGAAGGAGCCAGTTCAGTCACGATCACTCTTGTGCTGGGAAGTCCCTCTCCTCTTCCTTGGAACCACAAATGCTCTGTTGTCCTTGAATGCTTTGCCTATGCTGTATTGTTTGTAAAGATTCTCCCGTGTGATGTTAGCACTGTAAATAGAAACTGGTTGGGACAGAACAAAAGGTGGCTTGCAATGTTCCAGTAACAATCCTCTTATCCTAACTTTAGACACAGATCCCATTCTAACCCCCTGCCCCAAAGCTGTTAGATCAGTACCTTTTGCGCTGGTATGAGGATAAAGTAACCATAAGATGCATGTATGGACAGTCAGTAATGACCCTTAAATCACAAGGACAGGGTTGACTTGCAGTGTGCACATGCACACACAATGCTTCTGTTGCATGGTAAGCTAACTAGAATGGCACAGGAAGTTCCTAACTTCAAATGAGTCTGCATTGGGTACTTTCAGAGCAAAAAGAATTAGTCTCTTAACTCAGATGGTTCTCAGTATTAAATTTTATGCATTTGATCTTCCTAAGGTAAAGATGTACTAAAAACACTAAATTTTTAAGAAATAAATAAATAGTAAAATGTATCTATGTTGACTGGTACTCCTTATCAAAATGCTTGTTAAAATATGTATGCACACATGGCTCTCCTGTATGTGAAAGACAGACAGACAGACAGATAGACAGACAGACAGAGCAAGAAGGGACTGCTTGGAGAAAGGAGAGGAGCCACTGGGAAGGGAGCGAGAGGACATGAACAAATATTGGAAGTGGGTAAGAGCGAATGAAAACTACACAGGAAATTTTCATAATAAAAGCCATCATTTTATAGGCTCCATGAAATATTTAATATAAATGAAGTCTAAACATGTATGTATGTAATCTTCTGGGATTGCTTCTAGGGGGATGATCTTCATCTTGATGCTGATAGATGCCCACCCTGTCTTACAGAGTGTACACACGCCCTCCCTACCTTGTTCTGACAGTCATGAATGCAGTGTGCATCCTTCTAGAAAAGAAGCCCAACTGGACAACAGCCAAGCTGCTACTTTCAGACACCAGCTTCCTAAGGCGACTGATCAACCTTGACAAGGACAGCATCCCTGATAAGGTACAGTGCTGATAGCTAGGAGTGCCCACTTGCTGTGCCCGTATTTACAGACAGGCCAAGCAGAAGTGCTAAAACAGGTTCTGAATTATAAGTGAAAATTTAAAATGGATTTAAGAATGAAATGTATTACACATAGAAGATGGTGGTAGGAGTTAAAGGGGGGCTGGCAAGATAATAAAGGGGTGAAGGACTCATCAGGCCTGACAGCATGAACCTGATCCCCAGGATCCACATGGCAGGAGAGAACTGCACTAAATAAATACATAAAGGAAATTCTAAAGCAAGACCAAGAGAGCAAAGTTAATGATTTTCTCCCAGAAACGTTCTTCTGAAATCTTCATATTAAAACAGAGACAGCATGAAGCAGCCAATCACAGTCAACCAGCGAATCATGATAGTCTGTGCTTCTGGGAAGCAGAGTTCCCCACCAGGGAGATGAAGTGTTTGGCAGAATGTTTGCGATGATACTCATTCATGAGTTACTGTAACAATTCACTCTCTAAAGAACAATTAACAAATCTAGTCCCCTGTGGTTTTGTTTAAATATATCTGAAAAGATTTGCTCTTATAAAGAAGTGACTAAAAACCTAACAGCACTTGGAATAATAGAACATGTTAATAGTGGCAGGGTGAGAGAGCCACATGCATCTGAATTATTCAGGAAAGTGGAGCTGTTCCCAGGCAGGAGAGGAGATGCCTAGACAGAAAGGGAGAAGGAATCCAAGTCTGAGAAAGATTCTATACCATATATGGCTCATAAAGGCAGGTGAGAAATTCCGTCCACTTAACTATAGATTAGCCAACAGGCCACGTGGGGATGGGCATCGTCTCCTCACAGGAAAGCACACTAAGTGACTCTGACCTCCAACACACGAAGTTCTCCTAAGCTGAAGTTCATTTTGAATCTTAGCAAAGTTGCAGCAACAGCAACAGTGACAGGTATTCAATAGAAAGGCTCCCTAATCTAGGGCCACTTGGAATCCTAGATAAAGCTGTGTGTCTTTAACTGCAGCAGTGAAACTCGTCCTGGGAGGAATATCCAACTCACTCTAATGTACAGTACATCTCATGTAACATGTTCTCCCTAGGTGTTCATGAGGCTCAAGAAGATTCTAAATCTGCCTGATTTCAACCCCAACAAGATTGCTATGGTTTCTGTGGCTTGTTGCTCCATGTGTCAGTGGGTAATCGCTTTGAATAACTACCATGAAGTACAGAAGGTACACCTTGCTTCCTGATTCTCTGTCATGGTGTGCAAGGAACCCAGCATAGTCCTGAAAGTAATTGGTACTTAGCAGTGTTTAAGTGAACCTCGATTGCCTACTGAAACCCGTATGTCTTTCACATCTCATGCTCCCTCACCTAGACTGAATGCTTCTTTTAAACTTTTTATGAAAACTATGATACACTTCTATTTGTTTGATTTAGTATTTTGTCCATAACCAACTGCATCCCTTCAGGGCATATATAAAATTCCAGGAAAGTTTGTTTTAAAGACTGATACCTATGTCTCTCAAGTATCAGACATTTTAAACCACAAGCCTAACTGTTTAAACCTTTGGGTATTTTACTCTCGTGAAGGTGGTACGTCCTAAGCAGGCACAAGTGGCGGAGGCTCAGAACGTCCTTCAAATTGCAAAGCAAAGGTTGTTCGAAAAGCAAAGAGGTTTACAGCTGGTAAGATTTGGGGGTTTCAGATTCTTTTAATTATTATTTTATTACTTGTTTAATTCATAATGCATTTTAAGAACTGTGTAACATTTCCTAGGAGCAGTCAATAAACACCTTAGGGTTGAGAGTGTACTATCAGCGATAGTGGCCCTGAGATTCCATTCATAACACAGCAAGGCTATGATGAGGAGACACCATTGATCCAGCAGAGCTTACTCACCAAAAATAGAAGAGGGAAAATGGTAGGTTAGGGGTGTCATCGTGAGGACTAAGTAAATAAGACAGGTAGAGTGTGTAACACTCTCCATCTATGCCACATAATAATTAACAGGCATGTTAATGATCAGCATAAAATGCCATTGCACCAGATCTCTCTACCTTCAGTCTATATCCTCTAGTCATTTCTGTGTTAACCCACTCAGCTATGCTTCCTCCTCAGATAGCTAGAGCTGGTGCTAAGTGGGGATCCTCACCTGACATTTGATACATTCTGAGCAGATGCCATACTGCATGATTCATGTAGCAGACTCTCTTGTTAAAGTGCTGTGCCTCATTCTGGACAGAGAGGGCGGCTGGCACGGAGGGCGAGTGTCCGTTCAGTGCTGCAAGGCTGGCATTAAGTCAGCTTTTATTTCAGTACACCGTTCATTCATCCGTTCATCCATGTAGACCACACACGCACACGCACACATGCATGCACTCACACACACACAAAATTAAAAATTAATCCTGCCACAGACAGTCCATAATGGATATATTTTTATAAAATATATTTTTGTAAAGTTTAGATTCATACTTTTATAAAAATAATATCTAAAAATAAGGAAAAATGTACAGATCATAGTAAATACAATTCTGTATATATGATTTTATATATGTAACATCTATACTTACATGTTCCATAAGTTAGATATATAATTTCACATCTGCAAAGTCATATCTCTGTATACTTACATTTATATACACACACCATATTCAAGATTTCATGCCACACCCTCTGTGTTAGCTTTTTATCATTATTGCAGAAACCTGGTATACTCAAATGTATAAAGTCAAAACAAAAAAGATTGGTTTTTACTCTGACTTAGTCCATGGTCATTTGACCCTGCTGCTTTGGGCCTGTGTGACACAGTACACCATGCGGAAATGGAGCGACCTGCTTATTTCATGGTGACTAGAAAGCAGCTTGTAGGGAAAAGGAAGGACTGGGGCTTTGGTAACTCCTCAGACGGGCATGCTGCCAGTTCACTAACCCCCTCCATAGGTCTCACCTACTAAAGGTTCCTCACCTCCCAACAGTACCACAGGTTGGGGAACTGCCTTCACCACATGGGCCTGTAGGGAACGTTCCATACCCAGACCACAACACCAGCAAAGCATGGTTTCTGTGGGTTTTGATGCGTAGCCTACAGGCTGTCTCAGGCTCAGTTCATCCCTATGTCCTAACCCGTCCATCCCTCAGGTCTGCTCAGCATATTTGGAGAGGGAAAAGTCAGCTGTTTTCTTTCTTTATTTGAAACAGTAATCCAGGGTATGCTCTCTTGGTAGTTGACGATGACCTTGAATTTCTGACGTTCCCTCCTTTATCTGGCTCCTGAGCACAGGTTTGTGTGTCAGTGCACCTAGTTTTACACAGCACCAAAAATTAGTCCTAGATGCTCTCGAACCAAGGCGAGCTCCCACCAGCTGAGCTACACCCCCAGCCCTCAGTCATTGTTTTTAGAGTCCAGATTTAGACATAGCGTAGGTTATCTTTGTAAAGAAATAACTTAGAAAATGGTGAATCTTTGGATGCTTAGGATGGCAAGAGGGGCTTTCTTAGAAAACAGGCAGCATTTCACAGGACTGCGGGGCGGAGGATTGTTCACGTAATCCAGCTGGGGAACTTTCCTAGGGAAGTGCTGCATGCCAAGGCAAGAGAGGTGACAGGCAAACCTTTTGTGAGTGAGACACTGCGTGAGATTCAATGACCACTGTGACTGTCTTTCAGATTGAAGAACATCTGCAGTTCTTACACACGTCCTACAGAGATATTGTTACTGAAAAGCATCAACTGGCAAATCGGAAAAAGCTGGCTACCAAGCGCCTCCAGTGCGCGTCCGTCCTGCTGACTGTCCTGGAAGACGAGAAGGCATGGCTTCCTTTGCCTTTTTATCCCCTCTACTAATTCTCATTGGACTCAACAGACCCCAGCCAGCACTTCACCTGGGGCTCTATCACACTCCTTCTAGAGCTGTCTCAGTACCCAACTACCTATAACGATCTGGAGAACATCTTACACCAATAAAACAAGAGCTCGCCTCCCCTGTCGATAAGACAGCAGCACTTCCTGTGTGCTGAGGCCCAGGGAGAACCTGCAGTGACCCTGTCATGAGTTTCTCCCCAGCCCTGGAAGTGTATGGATACAGACCAAAGAGAACAGCTGTCATTAGAAGGAAAGGGAAGGCTCTCTTGTTCTGTTGTCTTCTGGCCCTTTTCATCTGAGTTTAAAATGTTTCTAATTCATGCCTAGTAAGCTGGCTAAAATGTTGATTTAGTCACACCCCACCCATCCTAAAGGATATTACAAACCTGTGGATACAGCCCTACTTTGTTATAATTATTTAAATGCATGTTTTGGAAGGCTCTCTAAGTACAGGGATGGGTTGTGGTATAAATAAACATATTGTGCCACATCAACTGAGGGAAACTACCATCCTCAAAACCTGACTGGTGTCCCTAAGGGTCCAGTGGCTGCTGGGTTCGGGGAGCACCAGCATTCTTCCTGGTCTTGGGCTCCTAGGGGAGGACAGAGGACATTTCTGTCCACCGAGCCTTAGCCAGTGACCACGCAAGCATGCGCTGACGTCCTCTGCTCTCTGACCTCCTCCTCTGAGCATGATGTTACTGGCAGTTTTTTTTGAAATTTTTTAAAAATTTGTTTGTTTCTTTGTTTGTTTGTTTTGAGATAGGGTCTCACTATGTAGCTCTGGCTGGCCTGGAATTAACTATGGAAGTAGTTGCTGGCCTTGAACTCACAAAGATCCACTTGCCTCTGTACATCACCATGCCTGGCTCAGGGACGTTTTTTTTGTGGGGGGGGGACTGGGGGACAGTGAAGTGTCAAGTAGGAATGTCAAGATAAAGTATCTGTGGGCAGTGAATCCACAGCAGAGGGTTAGGGGGATGATGGAGCACCAATAATTCAATAATGTGATTTTGTTTGCTTGCCAGTTTTGTGAGACATGTTCTCATGATGGCAGCCAAAGCTAGCCTTGACCTCATTATCAGGCCTAGTTTTCCTCTCAGAAAACAGTTCTTTGGTGGGAGTCAGGGTAAGATTTTAGTAGTCTGTCTACTTCTGTTTCAAAGCTAACGGAATTCTTGTTTTATCTGAATGAGATTTTTCCCCTGGTGTCAATAAGAAATTGGCTTGCCAGGTGGTTTCAGGCAGCATCTAGTGAAAACTATCTTCCAGCTCTGTTACCCTTGCTAGCCTGGACTTGAGGGCAGTGTTGAGTGCTGAGTTTGCAGGTATGTGCCACCACACCCGTCCTGGCCATTTTAAATGCTATTCACTTGAGAACGGTAATAGCGATGACAGATCCAAAGTAGAGACCATTCGTTTTTAAAGTGTCTCATAACATTGGTCTAGGGAGATGGCCCAGTGAGGCAAGTGCCGGCAGAAGTGTGAGGAACTGAGTTATCATCAGCCCCCACATAAAAGCTTATCTTTACCCCAGGACTGAGGGAGAGACACAGGTGGATCCTAGGGGCTTGCTGGTCAGCTGGTATAGCCCAAGCTGGTGAGCTCCAGCTCCAATGAGAGGCCTGTCTCAATCGTGATAAAGATGATAATGATGGTGGATTAGGCTAGGAGGCATGCTGAGTAGGTAAGAGCACTACTGTGCAAGCCTGAGAATCTTAAGTTCAAATCCTCAGCAACCATGTAAAAACCTGGGCATGACTATCCTGCCTGCCTGTAACCCCAGCACCATGGGGGACAGAGACAGGATCACTGAGGGCTTTTGGTTGTCAATCTAACCAGGTTCAATGAGAGACACTGTCTCAAGGAAGAGAGACAGAGAGTGATGGAGCAGGACATCTGAGCCTCTCATCTGGCTTTCACTGCATACTGTACCTGCACACGCACACACACACACACATACACACACACGGGGGAGTACACACACACATAAACACACAAATATACACTGCACATATGCATAAATACTTTATAGGATCAACTCATAAATATTTCATAGTACCAACTCGATAACCTGAATTTTATCTTGACACTCAGATTCGATGGCAAGAAACAATCAACGAGATAGACAACAAGCTGAAAGGCATCTGTGGTGACACACTCCTTTCATCCGCATGCCTTGCCTACAGCGGAGTCTTAACTCCAGAATTCCGCCAGCTGGTGATGGAGAAATGGAAAGACTTCTGCACTCAGTCTGAAATCATCTTGTCACCCAATTTTTCCTTAATTGATGTGATGGCAGAAAAAAATGAGGTAATAACATAACCTTATTGTCCAATTAAGTGGCTGCTGGTGGTGGTTGGGTTGGAGGGGTGTGTAAAGGGTTTTTTAGCATGGATATTTTCCCTAATTATTATGATAAATGAAAATATTAAAGTTTTTCAGCGTTTTCTTTCTCCTTTTTTACTTGCAGATCTAACACCTCAGTTTTCTCTATCTATCCTGTTTCACATTTTCTAATAAGATTCAGAGAATATTCTTCTTCTTATCTGAGTCCTACCAGTCTGTTGAAATGAATCTAGTCAGTTCCTCTCTCTAAAATTCCATGTATTAATAAATTGAGTGCCATTATTGAATGGGTACATTCTTAGCCATAGCCAAAACCACAGATCTATATTTACTAATGAATATTTATTATTCTGTTTATATAAGTCCTTTGTTGGTATTTAACAGATTGAAAAGGAGAAATGGCTGCTACCATTTAATCCTCAGTGTTTTAGATTGGCTCCTTCAGTAATAAGTCTACTTGCATGGGCCTCTCAACCTGTGAGGTTTTAGGAGGAAACAGCAGCTTCTTTGTTTCATGATCTAACCCCAAACACACCGTGATCACGTTAGATGTACATGCTCCAGTTGTCTAAAACTGTAAGACCATATAATAGTTCAGATCAAAGCACAAAACTGAAACCACATGTTATTTAGAAAGAATACATCTAAAATATTAGAATTGAGAATTTCTTTTAAAAAGAAAAACAACCCACAGATTACAGATAAAAAGTGAAATACTCTCTGTGGCCCAGAAAAAAAGGACTAAAGTTTAAAAAGTTTCTTACTCTGAGCTAAGGATGGGTTCTATATTAAATGATTAATATCCCAGAACTATATTAAACAATTCTAAACTTGTATATTGATAACTTTGAATGATAAGCAGACATTTCCTGAAAAACTATAGAGAAAACAGATAAACTACTAAGGTGGTTTGAGTGGTGTCTCCTCCGTGGACTCAGGTGTTTAAATACTGGGTCCCTAGTTGGTGGCACTCTTTGGAGATACTCATATGAGTGCAGCTGGAGGAAGTTCATCACTGGAGGCAGTGCTTTGAGAGTAAAAAGATTCGCCTACTTCCAATGTGCTATCTCTGCTTGAAGCTTGTATCTGAAGAGATAAGCACTCAGCTTCCTGCTCCACTGGCATGCCTGATGCTTCATGGCTCCTGTCTCAATTAGGGTTTTACTGCTGTGAACAGACACCATGACCAAGGCAACTCTTATAAGGACAACATTTAATTGGGGCTGGCTTACAGGTTCAGAGATTCAGTCCATTATCATCAAAGTGGGAGCTTGGCAGCATCCAGGCAGGCATGCTGCAGGAGGAGCTGAGAGTTCTACATCTTTATCTGAAGGCGCTAAGAGAAGGCTGGCATCTAGGCAGCTAGGATAAGGGTCTTAAAGCCCATGCCCACAATGACACACTTCCTCCAACAAGGCCACACCTCCTAATAGTACCTCTCCCTAGGCCAAGCATATTCAAACCACCACAGCTCCCCACCATAACAGATTCCTGACGTTCACCAGTAAAGCCTGTTCTATAAGTCACCCTGTCATGTGTTCTATCAGAGCAGCAGAACAATAACTAAGGCAGATGTTGGTACCAGAGAGTTAGATGTTCCTGTAAAGAACCAGAAACTGTTCATTTTTTATAGGAATGTAGGAGAGCCTGGAACTCTGAACTGGAAAAGCAGTTGAATGCTGTAAGCAGAACTTGGTGGTCTATGCTAACAGGGACCACCAGACAGACAGACAAACGGACAGACGGACAGACAGACAGTAATGCTGAGAACAAAGAGGACTGTGGAGGCTCAACAGGCTTCAGAGGGGAGCAAGGACTTTCATAGCAGTGAGGATGGCCACCATCCCAGTGATAGCTGAGTGAAGAATCAGGCTGCCTTCTGCCCAGGTCCTGAGAACTTGCCCAACACAGAACTGAAATGCAATGGAGAGAAAAGGAGACCTGGAAGCTTAGTGTTGCTGTAATTGTTAAGGAAACTTACACCAGTAAGGAGATACTCAACTACATTGGAGCAAAGAGGAAGGTACCCTAGGGCTAGACCCCAACAAAGGGAGAGTGCCCGAGGGGAACACCCCAACAAGCTGACCTTTCAACTTATGAAATCAAAGCCCTGAAAGAGGTTTCTGATCCTAGAAAGCAACTGCTAATGTGCTTCATGGGGACCAGGGTCCATCCTGAGGCAGCCAACCTGACAGTGTACCACGCAGGGTGCTGGCTTTAGAAGCATGAGGGATACAGGAGTAGAAGGGGTTGTGAACTCTTCCTTCACAGTTTCATTCAACCACTAAGACCACTTCTCAGAGAATCAAAATGAATGTATCAGAATAGACACAAACTTGAAAAAGGAAACTGTAAGTTCCCAAGATAAATTTTAAGAAGCAATAGTCATGTCAAACTCAAAATTTGGAAAACTCAATATTCTTAATCATTCAGTTCCTCCCAAAGTCATCTATATCCTAGCCAAAATACGAGCACAGTGTATGTCCTGGCGCCTGACTTCAGAGCTGTAGAAGAGGATAAGAACCCACAGTATCCAAGCCCACGCTGGAAACAGCTGTCAGTGCACTCTGGAGGCTCAGCAGTCACATCTGAGCCGAACAGATACTAGACTGGGATTTTTTTTTTAAGCCAATACAAAGAACACCTAAGAGCAGAGTTGAGAGCATAGAAACAGTCCTACACCACCAAAGACATTAGCATCACAGCAACGGTCATGGCGCAGTGCACGGGAGAGAGTGCTGGGCAATTGCGTATTTATTTTTTTAATAAAGCAAAAAATTTGGTTGCAGTTAAGTTCAGTTGCCTAAATGTGAAAAACAAATTAAGCACAATTTAGGACATACTTGACACTGAGTTTTAAAAAAAGAAGAAGAAGATCTCTTAAATAGGGGCTCAGCACTTAAGAGTACTGGTTGCTCTTCCAGAGGACCAAGGTTCAATTCCCACCACCCTCATGGCAACTCATAACTGTCTGTAACTCCTGTTCCAAGGGTCAAAACACTAATATACACAAAATAAAGATAAAATTATTTTTTAAATCTCTTAAATAAATTTAACCATCATAGAAAAAAATCTGATCAATTACATTAGAATTCAGACCTTTACTCATCAAAAGACAAAATTAATGAGCTAGAGAAATGGCTCCGAAGTTAGGAGAACTGGCTGCTCTGTAGAGAACCCAGGTTTGGTTCCCAGTACCCACATGTCAGCTCACAGCCATGTGTCAGTCCAGTCCCAGGGGATCCAATGCTCTCTTTTAGCCTCTGAGAGTACTGTATTTGCATGGTACACACACAGAGAGAGAGAGAGAGAGAGAGAGAGAGAGAGAGAGAGAGAGAGAGAGAGAGAGAGAGAGA